TATATTATAGCCTAGAGCAGGGGTAGGCAAGTTCGGTCCTAGAGAGCCGCAGTCCTGCGGAGTTCAGCTCCAACCCTAATCAAACACACCTGAACAAGCTAATCAATGTCTTCAGGATTACTAAGGCAATAGGCAGGTGAGTTTTGTTTTCAGGGTTGGAGCTGAACTCTGCAGGACAGCGGCTCTCTAGGACCGAACTTGCCTACCCCTGACCTAACCTAAGTCCCCTGAGAACCTGACACCTTGTACTTCTGGAGACTCCAGGTAGGTTGTAGTTTTGGAAAATGGTGGAACTGGAGACTAAATGGTTCCTGATTAGGGTGACCATACGTGCCATTTTCCCAGGACGCGTCCTGGCCAGGATTTCTATATTGCCTAAAATATCTAGGTTTTGGCTTTGTTTGCGTGTGCAGACCGATCGGTGTATGACATCAAAATACCATACAGACGGTTCCTTATGCTTTCAAAATGCTCTCGAGGTATTTTTATGTCATACACCGATCGGTCTGCACACGCAAACAAAGCCAAAACCTAGATATTTTAGGCAATATAGAAATCCTGGCCAGGGAAAATGGCACGTATGGTCACCCTATTCCTGATGGTTTCACACCTTCACCTTAATTCTTTTGCAGTTAACATGTCTCTTTTCTTCTCCACCTGTTTTTTCTGACCCTGCTGACCCAATCAGCATTTCGCTGTCCAATGGTCATGCCTTAACTTTGCAATTTCTAGTATTGCATCTTTCTCATGGTGAACCTTCTCACTCCTTAGGGTTGGTCCTGCCATGGTTGCAGAACACAGGAGGCTCTAGAAGTGCTAATTAGAATAGTGGCATCAGAAAAATGAAAATCCCCACCTGTAACATGAACAGCAGGGAAGGACGTTGGCTGAGTACTATCACAAGAAAACCCCACTTGGGGCTCCGCATTAAAACCAGGAGCATTCTGAGTACAAGCACTCACGCTGCTACCCCCTGGAGGACGCACTGATAACCATTTATCCAATATTGTGTTGTGTTTAAAGGGGTCATATGATGCGATTTCAATTTTTCCTTTCTCTTTGGTGTTACAAGCTCTTGGTGCATAAAGAAGATCTGTAAAGTTGCAAAGACTAAAGTCTCAAATCCAAAGAGATATTCTTTATAAAAGTTAAGAGTCAGCCACGCCTACCTAAAACGGCTCGTTCTAACACGCCCCCACATGTCTACTCTTTCGGGCTTGAACTGATGGTAAAACTAACGACATTATAACTAACGTCTTGATATTTACTTTGAAAGCTGAAGCTCTCGATTATGGTAAGGGGCGTTACATTTCCGACGCGTGCTTGTGGTGTTCAGCCAATCACAATGCACTGGGTCAGCTGGCCAATCGGAGCAGACTGCGCTTGTCAAAGGAGGGGGCTTTGTAGAAAACGAAGCGTTTGAGAGAGGCGGGGCATAGAGGACCTACAATAATGTACAGTATTTGAAAAATAATGTGTTTTTTGAACATTAAAGCATGTCAACATATTCTGTTATACCAAATACACAAAATAATGATCTTTAAAATAGCATCATATGACCCCTTTAATACTTCAGTTAACTAAGTGAAAGTGGAGCAGGTACTTGCTTAGCAAAATTTGTCTGTAGGCATGTGTGGTTGCAGGTGTCAACATTTTGTGGATGAAACCACAAAGCTGGCGTGAAGGTATGTATAATTACAATATAAAGTAATTGTGAGTGTTATTGTTATTAATATTATTTTCTAAAATAAGGTACATGTAATATAAAAGTACATATATGACGAAGATGTTTCTGCAACAGCTCCAGCTCTCTGACGCGCGGTCTATACGTCAGTGTCCAAATTCGTACACTTAATTCCATTCACTACTATCTGATATAGTGCACTCAATTGCCATACACTATATAGGGATTAGTGAATGAGTGAGTGATTTTGGACACAGCCTATATCTATAGGTAACAAAGATATTTTAACAAAAAACTTTTTTTTTTGAAGGGCCATTGATTAATTTTGCCTGGGGCCCCCACTTAATTTAGTTTCGCCTCTGTGAAAAAATTAAGTGCAAAAGTAAATCATAGACATTGCCATATTCAGTAACATGCTAAAACTATTCAGAGAGTTGTCATGATTGAAATATATATTAACCAACAATTGTCAACCTTATTTTGTTCAATGGCAGGTTATAAACCAATGTAAAATGTACATACATACCATTTTTCATGAAGCAAGTCCATATGAAAACAATTTTAGCTGATCTTTCATCATCATCTTCTTATAAGAGAAAATTATGGTTTTATTAAACATCGGTGCAATGAGCAAAACAGGGAGGGGTTGCGGTGATTTACACCAGTTTGGGTTAATTTAAAAAGAACATTTTTTAACACAGTGATTTAACAGTCACCAAGTTGTGGATAACACCAGCACTGCTATTTTATTAACTTATAATGTTAAAATAACACCAACACTGTGTATTTTATACTGTCTTTGGTGATATAACTCTAATAATTCCCCTTCTAGGGAATTCGTGCTGTGTCCTCTAGCAGACACTATGGGGAATGCTGCCAGCATGACCGGTGTTTGAAGCACATGTGCAAAAACTCCAATCCTATTGGTTCACGTGGCCCGTGACGTCACAGGTGGGTGCCGGAAGTATAAAGGGGCACCTGCTGAATACTTGTGTCGTCTTCATGAGCCGTCTGTCTGTTAGCAGTGTGTACTATGTCTCTGAAACCTGGCGAGCGTTGATGACTTGTGTGGTACGTGCCTGGAGGAGGAGCACGCATGTTCGGTGCTTGAGGGTTCCGAATGCGCGCATTGTGAGAAATTCACTATGCAGAAGCTCCAATCACATTTGTCTGTCTTCTCGAGGGAAGAGGGGCAAGCATCTGCGCCTTGCGGGTCGGGTACGGCGAAAACTCGATTCATGGAGATCGCAGGTCGAGCTCGCTGAAAGGTTAGAGAAAGGTTTGGATCTTTCAAAGACTCAGCCCGCAAGCTCAAGTGCGTCTCGTATCTAGACACTCTTTCATTAGAGTCATCTGATCCCGATAGCGCGCTGCTGGGCTCTTCTAGTCAGAATGATGATGAAGAGATTGATGTGGTTGGTGACAACAATGAAAGTCCGAGCGCTGAGTTGTCATCAACCTCCCCCAAACTACACATACAGGGAAATTCTGGAAATGATGGATCATGCTACTGAGCAGCTCGATCTTGTGTGGTTGCGTGAAAAGCCTAAGCCTGTTCGCGGCCGCCTGGATGAGCGTTTTTTGGCCAGTCTTGATCGTCCCGCCACCGGGAGTCTTCCGTTTCTCCCAGATCTCCACTCGGAGATATCTAAATCCTGGGGGAAACCGTATTCATATCGGCTACATCTTTTTCAACACACTGATTATGCTAATGTTGAGGGTGTGGCTAAACAGCTGCCTTCAGGACGTTCATTCCTCAGTGCTCTAAATCCTCATTTAGAGGGGCAGATCTGTCTAGGGCTGAGGCTCATAGACAAGATCAGAAATCTAGCGTAGCTAACCGCGCCCCTCCTCCCTCTAGGAGTCGGCAGTGGAAGGCCAATGCTAAAAGAGGGAAGAAGGATCTCAAGGACTTGCTAGATAAGAGACGCGGTGATCGCCCACGTCCTGAGGCTGGCACTTCCTGATCATTCTCTTCCCCCTTCCTCTAGGAATTGTTATGGCAGGATGGGCTTACTTAATACAGCTATCTGAGGCTAGCTGTCTTAGCTCTTTCCTGAAAACATAGCTACCCTCAGATAGCTATGTGCTTGCTCGGTGTTCACTCCCCTGTTAGGGTTTCTAAGTAGTGGTCTCCTTGAGCCCTCCTAGTGTTTCCCCTCTTACGGTTGAAAGTAGACAGCCCACTCTCTGTGGTCTGAGCAGTTTCAGTCGGTGCCCATTCCTGGGTACAGCTATGTGCTAGCTCAATGATTGCTCCCCTTCTTAGGGTTTTTAAGTAGCGGTCTCCTTGAGCCCTTGCTTAGTCAGTGCTATCTCCCTTGCTAGGGTTGTAAGCAGATAGCACACTTTCTGTGGTTTAGGAAGTTTTGAAGGATGGCTATCTGAGGCTAGCTGTATATGGTTTATCTACAAGCCTTTCATGAGATTCTTAGGATATAGCTATCTGAGGATAGCTGTATTCTAGCTCAACAGCTACTTAAAGCCCAAGCTTACTTCTTCATCATCATTCTGGTTCTCCATTTCCCAAGTTAAGTGAGCAGCCTAGGGCGTCAGTGGCTTGGCCCCTTTCTGAGGAAAGGTTAGGTGTATGTCTGTGACTTCTTTGGTATCTCGCCAGGTGAACAGGTATGTGCCTCGGCACGGCATAGTTGGCATTTCGTTCATTTCCCCTATAAGGGGAACATCTCGGGTTACGCATGTAACCATGGTTCCACGAAAGGGAATGAGAAGCTGCGTCCCCTCACCATGCCTTCGGCCTGCCTGTTTACATCTCCTTCAGACAACTAGTTGGTGAAGTATTCAGCAGGTGCCCCTTTATACTTCCGGGCACCCACCTGTGATGTCACGGGCCATGTGGACCAATAGGATTGGAGTTTTTGCACATGTGCTTCAGACAACGGTCAAGCATTCCCCATAGTGTCCGCTAGAGGACACAGCGTCTCGTTCCCTCTTGGGGAACCATAGTTACACGCATAACCCGAGACATTGTGCTCTGTACTGATTTAATTATTTCAGGTCCCCTTCTATCGGATCGAAATTTCATTTGAATCAAGCTCAATCAGACTGATTGAGGTGTTTACATGACAGCTTCTCAGATTATTATTGGATTATTTGGGAAAACGTAGGTAGTGATGGCACACTTCTCTCCAGTTATTTCATGATTCTTAAGGTTTTTCCTGTCTGTGAAACTCATTCCATACTGACAACATCTAAAACACTTCTCTTAAAGTGAATCTTCACATGTTGATTAAGGGTTACTTTTCGGCCGAAACTCTTTCCACACTGATCACATGTGAACGGCTTCTCTCCAGTGTGAATGACCATGTGAGTCTTAAGAGATCCTTTTCGTGTAAAGCTCTTCCCACACAATTTGCACGTGTGAGGGTTTTCTCCAGTATGAATTCTCATGTGGGAATCAAAGGATGGTTTATGTCTGAAACACTTTCCACACTGAGAGCATGTGTAAGGCTTCTCTCCAGTGTGAATTCTCATGTGTTTTATGATGTTCCACTTTTTAGTGAAACATTTTCCACACTGTTTGCAGGTGTAAGGCTTCTCTCCAGAGTGAATTCTCATGTGGCTTATAAGGTTCGCTTTTTGACTGAAACACTTTCCACACTGTTGGCATATGTAGGGTTGCTCTCCAGTGTGAGTTCTCATGTGGTCTTTAAGGATTTTTTTCCCATTGAAACCCTTTCCACACTGTTGGCATGTGTAAGGTTTCTCTCCAGTGTGAATTCTCACGTGGTCGTTAAGGATTTTTTTCCCACTGAAACACTTTCCACACTGTTGGCATGCATAAGGTTTCTCTCCAGTGTGAATTCTCATGTGGCTTGTAAGGTTTCCTGTGTGACTGAAACTTTTTCCACAGTGAGGGCAGGTGAAAGGCTTCTCTCCAGTGTGAATTCTCATGTGGATTTTAAGGTTTCCTGTGAGACTGAAACTCTTTCCACACTGAGGGCAGGTGAAAGGCTTTTCTCCAGTGTGAACTCTCATGTGGTCATTAAGGTTTTTTTTCTCACTGAAACACTTTCCACACTGATGGCAGGTGTTAGATTTGGTCTTCTGGGCTCTTTTTCGTGAGGACATTTTTTCAGTCTTTACAGATTTTTTTCCAGTTATGAAATCATGAAGTTCCTCATTCTGATCCTTCTCTTCCATTTCATTCAGTTCTTGTCGCTCCTCTTTTGGTGGCATCGTGTCTACAGTGGAAAAAAAGAAATACATGTTAACCTTACATTGTAGAAGGTGACAATAACACACTGTTTTCCAGTAAAATTGTACTATATTGTAAAAAAACAATGCATTCTGGGAATTGTTTGCCATTTCCATGTACTGCAAATTACTTTGTTGAAAGGGAAACAGGTAAATTTAGCTAAAAGGGAATTACTAATTATATTTATAGTGAATTTTGACAGAAACAATGTTTTACGGCTGATCAAATTATTGGTAACGATTAATTGAACGGCCATAACTATCAGCTCTGCAAAGGATATTATATCCAAAGTATAGTGAAAACACTATTTATTAGAACTGTAACAAGATCAGCAGTTTAAGACATTAACTTGTAAGCACAAAACACAATACTTCTCTTTTAATACATACAAGACTTTATTGGACATACAGTATTTAAAGACTTATGTCATGATGGTAGAGGAGCAGCAGGTATGTAGTAAGCTCGCAAGCGCACTGAAAGAACGCAAAAAGCTTAAAGGCAAAAAGAAAAATTTGTTTTTGTCATGAGTTTTTAAACTCAGCTGTTAGACACATCCTTACTGGTGTCCTGACCAATTAGACATTGTTTTAGCTGGCGGGGTGACTATGTTTCTCCTCCCAATACATAAATCAACATGTTATCTTAATAGTCACATGATCTGAATTTTCCCGTTCTTGCAGAGTATAATTTAGACATGATTCTATAATTCTATAATTAAGTAGAAGATATTGGGTTTAATATTATACAACTTAATTCTTTTATTCAGACTACTTCTGTATAACTTTTCCTAATTTAACATGTCATAGTAACAAATGCCCAACTTCTAAGTAAAATCTTCTCAGCTGCACTTGAAGGCAGCATTGTAGTATTTTTCTGGTCATGTGATCTCATGTCATGTGACATGTCTGTTCACATGATGTGACTCACTCCATGAAAAATAAAATGTAATTAGGACACTAGTATATCATTCTTCAAAAATATAATTCATTCCTGTAGAGCTGGACAAGCTGGACATTTTAATAAGAATCAAATGAGTGAGTTCAGCTTTGAGAAGGAAAACCAACCTGTTTGTTCCTCAGTATCTTCATGTTTGACTCTGAAAGCTTCTTCAGTCCTCGTGTCTTCACTCTCCTCTTTAATAAACGGCATATCTGTTTGTTCCTCAGTATCTTCATGTTTGACTCTGAATGTTTCTTCATTACTCGTGTCTTCACTCTCCTCTTCAATTAACCCAATCTCTGTTTGTGTCTCAGTATCTTCATGTTTGACTCTGAAAACTTCTTCAGTCCTCGTGTCTTCACTCTCCTCTTTAATAAACGGCATATCTGTTTGTTCCTCAGTATCTTCATGTTTGACTCTGAACACTTCTTCATTCCTCGTGTCTTCACTCTCCTCTTTAATGAACACCATCTCTATTTGTTCCTCAGAATCTTCATGTTTGACTCTGAATATTTCTTCATTCCTCGTGTCTTCACTCTCCTCTTTAATAAGAGCCATCTCTGTTTGTTCCTCGGTATCTTCATGTTTAACTCTGAATGCTTCTTCAATCCTCGTGTCTTCACTCTCCTCTTTAATATACGCCATCTTAATAATAGTGTGTCACGTGGATCTCAGCTGCTTCAGAAGGAGTTTTTATGTGTGTTTTGACACTTTGTCCTGTTTAAGATGAGAATAATTAACAGAAAGAAAAATAAATCTAAACTAAATCTCTGGGTGCGTCTCAATCAGCTCCCTAGTTTAAGGGATAGTTCACCCAAAAATGAAAACTACCCCATGATTTACTCACCCTCAAGCCATCCTAGGTGTACAGTAGTTAGTCGAACAGAATGCCTATTACCGCCACGCTTGTGCAAATAAAAATCAGTCACATGTGAAACTCGTTCGCGAAATCACCACCAGGTGGCGCAAAGGGATGGATGACACCATTTGCTCAATAAAACAGAAACGTGATGTTTTTACTTGTGAATGAAGTTTAAAAAAATAAAATAAATGTCTAGTTTAATAATAATAATAATATAGCATTATAACATTAAATCCCGACTATATGCATAAAGGTTCAACATTTCATAAGCGGCTCTCCGCGCTGCTTCGCTAAAGATAGGTTCTTAGTCTATTTTTGATGGATGCCGCGTCCAAGCCGCATATCATTAGATAATTGAGGATGAATTTTAAATAATGAAAAAACAGCTACAAATCTTTTATCCTTGTCAATCATAACTACACTTTTAAGGCCCGGTTTCACAGACGGGGCTTAGCTTAAGCCAGGACTAGGCCATAGTTCAATTAGGATTTTAAAGTAATTTTTATAAACATGCCTTAGAAAAAACATTACTGGTGTGCATTTTGAGACAAAACAAGGGCACTGACATATTTCAAGATTAATCAGTGCAAGTTTCTTTCAGTTGAAACAGCTCAGACTTCAATTTTAGTCTGGGACTAGGCTTAAGCCTTGTCTGTGAAACCAGGGGTAAGTGTATTAACTTTGCCTGTTGGATACAACACACAAAGTAGGACATAGCAATAAACACAATTAAACCAGACAAAACAACCATTTAAGCCGGGCATACACTGTGTGATTTTCATCCGAATTTGAGCCGAATTTCGGCTCGTGCGACTCTTTTTTGAATCGGGCCGAATTTCAGCTTTGTTGTGCGTCGTTTGTCGTGCAGTGTACAGGGGGAAACGAGAAGTCTCTTCCAACAGGCAATCGGACGGTTGGATGAATTTCTAACATGTCAGAAATTTTGGTCGGCCCTCGTGAGGGTATCGCACAGTTGAAGCAGAGCTATGAACCGACTGGCCTAAACTCAGTGCTTTTTCCCTCACTGCGCCTGCGCGAAAATAGAACTTTAACCATTTAATCTTTAATGCAGCAAGAAAGAAAACAAAAAGAGGGAGATCTTTTGAAAAAATAATAAAAGCTTGGAAGAGCCAGGGCTAGACATGTCCCGGTATTCTGTAATACGATATATCACGATAATAAACATGCACGATATTGTTATCGTGGGTACTTCAAAATACCGTGAACAAATATTTATTAAATTATTCAGAGTTTTTGAACGCATTTTAAGAATTATTTTCCCATTAACTGGTTAAAATGCACAACACTGCTGTATGCTGCGTCAAAGACACATGCGCACTCTTGATGTAAACAAGCCCAACATGGATGAAGGAAGCGCACTGCGGAACGAGTACAGGAGAAGCGCTGAATGAAAGCGCACATTCACTCTCTGACAGCAGATGGCGCTGATGGAACAGCCGTAAACAAAGCTGCTGCACTACTTTCTGTTTCTGAACAGTATTTAAATGTTTTAAACAGCCATTCAGATTTGTGTATTCGCTCACCAAATACAACACCAAAGACTTGATAGGCTATTTATTTTCAAACTTTTTAATCTGGACTACAACATGCCCTAGATATTGTTTGAAAATGTTTTGATTCTTTATTGTTCATATTGTTCGTACATTAAGGCCCCATTAGTTAACATTAGTTAATTCATTAGTTAACATAAACTGCCAATGAAAAATTCTTCTAAATCATTTGTTAATCTTAGCTAATTTTAACATTTAATAACAAGTTATTGAAATCAAAAGTTTTAACTGTATTATTTAATGAACTCGAGCTAACATGAACTAAGTTGTATTTCTCTTTAAAGAATAATAGCGTCTGAAACAAATGTAGCTATTGCTCATTGTTCATGTTTATGCATTAACTAAGGTTAACTAATGAGATCTTATTGTAAAGTGTTAACTATTGTTCATTATAATTCTTTTGCACTTTAATCTGTTTGAAACATGTTTACTTTATACATTTGTGTTGTTTATTGTATTTAAATGTTCTGTTCTTGTTGAAATAATCCAACTCATTTCAGTATCGTGATAAAAAAATCTTCAGCAATTATCGCAACATGAAAATTTGATACCGTCACATGCCTATCCAGGACAATTTTTTATATATCTCTGACTGTATTTGTCTGAAAAAAGAAAGTCATATACACCTAGGATGGCTTGAGGGTGAGTAAATCATGGGGTAAATTAGTGCTACAAATTAATAAAATAAATCAAAGAGACCCTTCTTTTTTAGGCATTTATTATTTACATTTAGTATTGATTTGTAAATTAAATTGAATATATTTCACTTTCATTAAAACATTTGCTATTCATTTGTAAAAGTTGTCATTACTCATGTTTGTGTTTGTTGTTCTGTTGCATTTACACTGTTTTGAGCAGCAGGTGTCGTAAGCGTGCGGTGAATCGAGCGATTCGAATCACTGAATCGTTTTGCGAAGCAACTGATTCAAATGACTCGAAGTTTCGAAAAGCCCCGTTTCTCTCTCATCACTAACGTTACTAGCCAGTGACTGAATTCGTGTTTATGATGAACTGATTCACGATGTATGGAGCGAAATGAGACGCACCTTTTCTGTTCTTCATAAGTGGACGCGGTTTACAAGCACACAAAAAAATGTTTATTAATGTTAGATAAGCATTCATGTTGCATTAAATAACAACTGATTCGTTTTAAAGTTACTGTAAACAACCAAATAGACCGAATGTTTAATATCTATTTAAACCCTTTAAAGTCTTAAAAACACAAACCTTTCATCCGAATCACAACAGATGCAGGAACGCAGCGCAGCCCGGTGACGTCACTCCACAAAACCAAAATAAAAGTCCCGTTCACACGCTGCTCTCTAAAATCACAAACATGCATATAAATATTAAAATAGATGAGAATAGAATTTATTTTTTGGTAAAACTGATATTTAAATACATGTTGCTGAACATATTAGGATCTACTAAGAAAAAACTGCAATGTTTGGATGCAGAATCCATTTATAACATGCAACTGGACGGTCAGAATTGACTTCCGCACAGTCCCTGCCAGAAATTAGTAGCCTTTCACCTGTGTCTCATAAACATAAAGCTTTTACAAAAAGGTGGTTGTTTTCTTTATAAACACCTAGTAACCCACATGAAAAAATACTGTAGTAATGTATTTACTATAGTAAAATGTAATAAATTGTAGTACACTGTGGTATATTGTAATATTTACTACACTTTAACTTATACTACAGCATCCTCTAGTATTAACTATAGTGAGTTTGCAACTGTAGTAAAATTAAGTTTTACTATAAACTGTATATTTACTAAACTTTAAATTATACTAGAGCATACTCTAGTATTAACTATGAGTTCGTAACTAAGTTTTTACTATAGTAAACTGTAGATATACTGTAGTATATTACAGTATTTACTACACTTTATTAATTTATACTATATCATAATGTAGTATTAACTACAATGATAATCAGTTAGTTACTATAGGATACTATGAAAATACAGTGTGTTCTGGTGTTCAGTAAATGGTGCTCTGTACCACTCTGTACTTTTCGAAACCGGTACGGATAAATATAATTTGTATCGTCGTCTAAAGGACATTTTGTAAGGCAAACAATATATACAGGTGCATCTCAATAAATTAGAATGTCTTGGAAAAGTTCATTTATTTCAGTAATTCAACTCAAATTGTGAAACTCGTGTATTAAATAAATCCAATGCACACAGACTGAAGTAGTTTAAGTCTTTGACAACAATTATCAGCTCTTGCGCTACTGACGTACGTGACGCTTTGCGCCAGTCGCGTGGTCTTCAGCAAACAAACTTTAAAGACGTTGGAAGCAACAAAGTTTAAGTAACGTCAAATTTGTCCTGTTATTTTCCTACTGGTGAGATTGGATTGGGGAGCTCTCGTGGTTACAAGGAGAGCCAAATTACCCTTTCCAAATGTGGGTAGGCCTACTGAACTACCAAACAGAAGACCACACTTCCCAGCAAAGATACTGGCAGTGGTAAGTTAAGTCTCTTATTAACCTCGTCAGTTCACTTACTATCTCATGAATTATCAGTTAAAGTAAGCGCAGTGTAGTCTTTAACTACCCCATCAAATTGAAAAAGGTTAGAGAAAAACGTACTGCGCTCACTATTTATTTCTCTGTTTTTGCCACGGGATTGACATCCCTACTAGGATTTACACAAGCTTCAGTCTGGATCCAGAACACCTGAGTGCTTACAAGTTAATGTCTTTAACTGCCGATCTTGTTACTGTGTTAATAAATAGTGTTTACACTATACTTTGGGATATTAATATCCATTGCAGAATTGATGTTATACGGCTCGTTCAATGAATCGCTGGCCGACTCAGTGATCAGCTGTAAAACAGTGATTCTGTCCAAATTCCCTATAAAATCATAAATGATTCCCTTTGAGCTAAATTGACCTGTTTCCCTTACATCAAGCATATAAAAGACATAAAACACATTATTTGAGAATATAGTTGCCCTTTATACTTTAAATGATTGTCCTTTTTAAATTGTCTGTTCAAGTTTCCGTGTTTCTTTGTCTGCAATGAAACAGCGCATCTCTTTTGGAATGCAGGATCTGAAGGGAATCATGTGTTCCCGAGGTCAAGAAAGTCAGCTACGCGAGTGGTGAGTTTCCCGCTCAAACGTGTCAATGTAAATCTGTCTTCTTTGTTTATTCGATTATCAATTTATGTGTAAATGGTCATGGATACCATGGACCATCTGTTCCCTGAATGGTCTCAGACAGAGGTTGATCGAGTCACGTTAATACTGTTCTTTAGATCCGTTGTTTTTGCATGTCTGGAGAGTGTCCGGCAAATCACTCTCTTTCTGTGTCTTTTCATGGATTTATGCAAAGCAATCTTGGGTGACAAGCAACCATTTGTGGCTGACATGGTTCTCACACAAAAGGGGGTTCTTTCTCCTCCTGATTGGATGAAGTCAATCACTGCTTTATGTGTCTCTTGAGAAGATAAGCAGAGTGGAACAGGAACTGTTCGAGACAATTGGGCTCCTGGGCTGACCATTGATCAGTTTTACGACTTGCAAACAGTTAGGAGGGGGAATCTTGAGATTGTTCTGGAATGTGGAGATTCTGCAGTTTATTTGTGTCCATTCACAGAGGTCCTATAGGTTTAGATGATTTCTCTACTTGGACAAAACCTCTCCAGCCTTGGAAAAGGTCTTTCACATGGAACAGAGGATGCAGGGAAACATAAAAATGCCAATGCCAATGCCAATGCCAGCTGGTATAAATGAGGATACTGATGCTTCTGTTGAGCCCAATATACTAGTGCAGTGGTTCTCAAACTTTTTTCAGCGGCGTACCCCCTGGGGCATTTAACATTCTTCTGTTCTTCGTACTCCCTCTCTTCCACTTAGACCGCAGTCACACCTTTTCTATTAAAGGACAATATTTGCCCCCTTAAATTGATTTACAGGTGCATTTTTTACCTTTATAGAGGCAAATATTTTTGATCCTTGTTAATTGTATGTCATGTTTTATGTCATATTCTTAACATTTATTATATTAATAATACACTTAATGGAATAAAGCAATACATTATGGCAAATCGAAGTGATACTTGTAGATTTAAAAAATAAAACCGCCAATCGGTCTTTGTCAGGTGACGTCACGCTTGCGAGAACCGAAGTGCATTATGGGTGCAGCCGCCATTTGTAAGGTATCAGAGCCGGGGTAATATATCGTTGGAGAATTGTATTTTTCATTCGCTTTATTTCAAAGACAATGGTACGGTCTTGTTGTGTGAAAGGTTGTAATACTAAGTCACACGATAGAAACGGTCAAAAGCTTCACCACCAGGAACGGTTTTTTAAGTTTCCCACTTGGAAGAAAGGTTATGGACAGCATGTAGCGGAAATAACAAAGAGGCGTCGGGTGGCCTGGGTTGCAGCGGTGAGACGCAAAAACATCACTTTTGGCAACGTATCTCCGTTTATGTATGTTTGCTCTCGACATTTTCATAAAGGTAAGTAAAATATTTAAGTAACGTTGACAAATGTCATGGCTTTCTGTCATTGTGTTGTTGTTGTAAAATGTCATGCAGTCGTCATGTACAAGGTTGTAAAATACTTAATTAGTTTAGCTTTTAATTAATTAATCGCATCCAAAATAAAAGTTTTTGTTTACATAAATAGGTTATGTGTGTGTACTGTGTGTATGTATTATTTATATATAAATACACACACATCTAGTATATATTTTGAAAATATTTCCATGTTTTCCATGTATACATTTATATTCATATATATATATATATATATATATATATATATATATATATTTAATATATACACACAACATATTTTTCTTAAATATAAACATGCATGTGTGTGTGTTTAAATATACATAATAACCCTTATGTGTATTAGGTTATTCCATAATAACCCTTATTCCTCGTCTGGGATCGTGTAGAACACTTTGAAGCTGCACTGAAGCTGCAATTTGGACCTTCCACCCAGTGAACCCCACTGAAGTCCCCTATATAGAGAAAAACCCTGGAATGTTTTCCTCAAAAACCTTAATTTCTTTTTGACTGAAGAAAGAAAGACATGAACATCTTGGATGACATGGGGGTGAGTAAATTATAAGGACATTTTAATTCAGAAGTGAACTAATCCTTTAATGTTTATTGCCTCCATATATTGTTTTAGAATGTTACAAGTTGTGGAGGAATTCCGATGAGGAAAAGCAAGTCGTGTCTATTCTCAAACATATTCACAAACACAACAAAACTATATAAAGGCTATTCACACAAGCATGTTTAAACAAAATGATTTGTACTTTAATTAATTTGATACATTACTCCTTATAAAAAGAAGACACATGCCCACTAGTTACTGGCTTGATGCAGACTAATATACACATAGCTGAAGCTGATTGATATCATCCTGATCTAGTGGATCAAGGTTTATGTAAAGTAATGTGAAAATAAGCTGGGCAGTCTCAAATCTGGCCCAGTGGCTCTCAATTATAGCACGCTGCAGTTCCATTTTTCACCACAGATTTACATTGGGAATTTGTGGGGCGCTGTTGAGCTGGGGAGGGCTCAGGAACCCTCTGCTCTGCTTAGTATCATAATATATGCCTGCAGAAGCCAAATAAATTGTATCTCCTGCTAACTTTACGACTCGAAATAATCTAGAAAACGGTCCAATGTTTAGACCTTTAGGATCTAGTAACATGACATAGTTTTTGTATTTGGGATTAAATGGCAAATGTGTGTGTGTATATATATATATATATATATACACACACAGTATATATATATATATATATATATTTTTTTTT